TTTTTTTGGTTGCTGTACCAAGCATCAGGGGACCAATAGGCCCAGGTGGTCACAAGGGAAACCCTGGCCTCTGCCTCCCTATGGCCTATAGTACCTGCTTGGGGCAAGGCTCCCTGTCTCTTTGTGCCTCAGGTCCCCTGACTATGCATGAGATTGTCTTCATTTGCTCTTACTATGATAAAACACTGACCTAAAACAACTTAGGGGACTGAATGTTTATTTCAGCTTACAAGGCACAGTCTGTCACTGAGGGAAGTCAGGGCAAAAACTCGGCAGGAAGCAAAGCTGCTTGCTGGCTTTCTTAGCATTCTTATACAGTACAGGCCTACCTGCCCAGAAATGGCAATTTCTCATGAGTTCCATCTTCCCAGGTGACTTTCATTTGAGTTGACAAAAACTAGCTAGCATAGATATTCAGAACCTTGAGAGTCCTTTCCGTGCTGACCCTTGTCCTGTCCTTGGATTGCATCAGCAATGCATCTGGAGTCCTGCCCACAGAAATACAGAGTGCAGTGGGAAGACAGATACAGTCTAAGGTCTAGAGTCCAGCACAGGGCCTGGCATCCAGCATCATCAGGCAGGAATCACTGAGCTCTGTACTGTGGAAAGTGAAGGCCAGTGAGTTATTCTGTCTCTCAGTGACCCAGGCCACTGGTGACAGAGCTTGTTGTCAGGTGCGGTTTTGGCACCTAAATGGGTTTGTTCACCTATCAATCTGAGGGACTGGTACTTACATGACTCCATTTTACAAATGGGGGAACTGAGGCACCAAGTTCTCTCTCTCTCTCTCTCTCTCTCTCTCTCTCTCTCTCTCTCTCTCTCTCTCTCTCTCTCTCTCTCTCTTGCTTGCCTGAAGGGCAGAGGCAAGGCTTGACCTGCCGACAGTCATGCTCACCTGCTTCTGGAAGGGAGCCACTGTCTCCGGACAAGCAGTGTGAACAGTGGCTTCTGGGTGGGATGGCCAGCAGGGCCTGAGGTGAGGGACATTGGCCAGTGCATTGCCTGCCCTGTCTCTTTCACCATCAAGCCAAACCTGGGAATGAAAGAGTTAATGCCTACATTGATGGGGTTGAGGCCTGGGGAACTGAGGCACAAGTAGTGATATAATTTGCCTACAGTAGCTAAAAACTGGATTCTAGTCCCAATTCCAGACCATGATGCCTGGAAAGGCAGCTACCTCCTAGGCCAGAGACAGAGACTGTTATTGTCACAATGGCACCAGAGAGGTTCCCTTGTCCCCACAGCTGACAGCCTTGTTAACTGCCCAGGCCTTACCCAGCCCTCAGGTTGTCCTGCCCTGCTGCCTAGGGCCCAGGCTACCAACTGAAAAACAACTTGGCCAGTTTCCGCATTAAAATAGATGGAAAGTGGGCCTTTCACAGGCATTATGCACCTACTGTATGCCAGCTCACTTTATCTCAACAGTCCTAACTAGAGATGTTCAGAGGTGGGATGCAATCTGTCTAGAATCATACTAGAGGTATGTGTACAGGGAATTCAAGTTCAGGATGTCCATGTCTCACCCCACCCTTCAGAGTTCATAATTTCTCCCTGCTCTGGCCCTAATGACAAGCAAAAACCAAGGAAAGTACCCTGGTGGTGGTAGAACCACTTAGCCAGCTGCCTGCAGCCTTAATAACACCTGCAGGCTTCTCCGAGCATCAGTTTCCAGGCTAGATAGTAGAGCTTCGGAAGTTGTTAGGGTGAGCAAAGCTCCGGAGCATACAGGGTGGCAAGGCTTGGGGGAAGGTGGCTTTTGGGGTCTCCCACACCCATCATGTCAGGTCTGGCACAGTCCTCGTACAGCATGACCACACCCTCTGCCACCTCCAACCCCACAGAGAATGTAAGAGAGGGAAATCCCATGAGATGGGACCATAGTGTACTAGGACAGTCTCTGCCTCCCAGAGGGCACCTATGTACTCCCAGAGTCCCAGGCCATGAACGGAAGCTCAGGTGATCGCCAGGACTTCTGGTCCTCTGTACATAGGCAGAGGGCACATTTGCAGCTGCCTGCTTCATTTCTGGAAAAACCATCTCTTGGTACAACAAAACATGTGGCTGACAGATAATTCACCCTTCAGAAAGCCTAGTGTGTTTTCCACATAAACCTTTCAAAAGTGGCAACCCCCTGCACTCAGCCCTATAACCTCCACCTCCACCCAGGTCTATCATGGCTGACATTTCCTCAGGCTACCCATACCCACTTGGACCATGGGGATGCTGCCACCTGCCTCTCTTAGCATGACTGGTAAGGTAGGAGCTAGTGTGGTAAGAGGGGGTATGAGGAGAACCAGCTGCGAGAAAAAGCACCATATTAGGGTCAGATGTCATGGGTCCAGTCCTCTTCCCATGACCTGATTGTGGCCATCAACATGTTACTTTATGCCAGTGTTCTTATCTGGAAAATGGTGCAGAGGAAACTGGGAATATGAAAGCAAAGTTGTGCATTCCTGTCTTTGAACTCTCTACTAGGGCCCTGCAAGGCTAGATGAGGGGTACCCTGTCAGGGCCCCTACAGCTGGGCACTGCTGTTCCTACCCCATAGGAAGAGAGCTGATTCCAGGGAGACGATACCAGGCAGGACATTGTGCTGGGATCTGTAGCGATGAAGCTGAGGAGGCCACATCCAGGCAACAAATGCTTAGTGCCAGGCTCTGTTTGCCACCTGTGTCACCCTCCTAGACACACACACAGCTACTCCAACCCTGCCAGTTTAAAATAAGGGAGGCTGCCAGAGCCAAGGTCCCCACGGCTGACCAACAGGGCTTTGCAGGCAGTGACCAAGCTCTAAAATCTGCCTGACCTGTGGGCACAGAGGACTCCACCTCACAAACTGGGGTGGGGGCACTCTTCATGAGAGTAGCCGAGATCTTATGGAGTCACATGTGGGTGTGGCATCTGAGCTGCTGTGAACTGAGGGTACCAAGGACTGATGTCTTTCCATGTTCTTCTTCCCCAAGGCCCTGGGGCTCCCGCCAGCCTCTGCAAAAGTCTACATGTTCTCCTAGGGCTGTATCCTTTCTATTCTTTATTTATTTCTGTAAACTAGGCTCATCTGTAGCCAAGGATGGCCTAGAACTCATCAACTCATCATGCTTCAGCTTCCTGAGTGCTGGGATTACAGGCTCAGCTCAAATGATTTCATGGGTTTTTTTGTTTGTCTGTCTGTCTGTTTGTTTGTTTGTTTGAGACAAGTTCTCCTGTAGCCCAGGCTGGCTTGAGAACTGAGACAGGAGTGTAATACTACCCCAATATTATACAATGCTGGGAATGGAGTCCAGGGTCTCATAAAGTTAGGCAGATACTCTACCAGCTGAGCCACACCCCCAGCCCTCCCCTGGGATAGTGTTCAGACAGCGATGTACATGAGCCCCAAGTCTGAACACTTGCCTCCAGTGGGCATGATGCTTCTGCTAGTACATGCTGGCTGCTAGGTGCAGCAAAACCAGCTATATTTGGTCAGATGAGGAGATAGCTCTTAGACTACTTGAGCAGAGACCTTGGTTCAGATCCTCACTCTTCTACTTCAGGACTTTCATCAAGGAGCTAACTAACCCCTCCCGCCTCCATTTCTGTACCTATGAAATGGGTACAAAATGGTAAATCCTAGCACCTTGTGCAGTTCTGTCCACGCCATCCGTTATCCATGTGCTCACACCCTCCGGCCCCGTGGGCCTCATCACAGTTCTCATTTGTGCCACTGGTGCATGCCTGGTCACTCTGCTGAGCTGATGTGTTTCTGAAATTTTTGCCTGCCGGAGGCCCACCCTGGGACAACACGTCCGTGTGTGCTTCAACTGCTTCACAGGTCTGTAGGACGGACCCCTCTACCCATTCCCTGGCTGGGCCCCACCCACTGTGCAGAGCCACCATCCTAGCCCAGGTCTGCCTGCTTGCCGCCCCTCACTTCCCCAGATCCCAACCCCAGTGATCTTATCACCAGAGATGCCCTTCCTACTTCCACAGCTGACAGAACAAGGTTACAACCCTGCTCCTTACTCAAAAGACACGTGGTCTGGGGCAAACTCCTCAGCCTCCTGGGGCCTCAGTATCCTTATCTGCTAAAATGAGAACTGTCCTATCCGCAGGCCTTCATCTGTGGAAAAGAAAACAACAACAACCCATCTCGGGCAGCTGCCCTTGGTCAAGTGTCTGGACTGATGAATTTTGAATCTTTATTTCCAGTGGTCCTCAGGAGGCAGGACTGTCTACCTCAGAACACACAGCAACAACCTGGAGCCTGAATGGCGTTCTGACAGAAACTCCACAATGACAAACTTCTGTCACCACTCCCCAATGTCCTGGGAGATCCTCCAGTCAGATGCGGAGAGGACATGGCAGAGGGGCATACTGTGGGGTCTGGTCCAGGTCAGTGTTTGGACAATTGGTGACTCTGGCATCCTCCTCACTCCAGCAGAGGGAGTATGAAGGACACCATGGAGGTTGTGGGAATATCCCACATGATGATGAACATGAATCCTGTAGTTGGGGCAGATGCAGGGCAGGAGAAAGCCCAGCTGGCCCACATCCTCCTACCCCTGTGCCTTTGGATAAGTTGGCAATCACTGGCTAGGGGTGGGTCCTTTCCTGCCTAGGTCATGGAGAGCCCTGGATGTCCCCTTTGTGGTAAAAATTGCCAAAGGGCATGTAGACCTTGGGGCCACAGACAGAGATGGAATCTGGCACTTTGGCTGAGGCCAGTGGAAATTGTCACCCATGGTCTATACAACCACTGCACTTAAATGTCACCGTCACTGCCCTCCCTCTAGGAAGTCCCACCTAGGGTTAGCTTGGCCACCAGCCTCCACATGACTCCCATCTGCTGGGCCTCACATCGTCTTCTCTAATCCTGGTCAGTGGCCCCTTAAATGTTCTAGTTTGAAGTGTCCCTACTGAACAAACATTCCTCCCAAACTTGCTTCCATGCTGAACAAGGAGATTACTGCCTTGGGCATCCTCAGTGTCCCACCCTATCATCGCAAAGGGGCGTGGAAAAATATGGTCAGGACCTTGATTTATTGAGAGAAACCCAAACTGGAGAATCACAGCCTTCTTCCCTAAGTCTCCACATCCTTACCAGGAACTCCTGCCAGTTGGCTAAGAACCCAGCGCCCCCTGGAGGCTGGTTATGGAAACTTTCCCCAGACCTATGGGCACCATCACCCAGGGGAAGGCCCTCTCCAGACTGAAGTGAGGAAGTGAACCATCCAGCTCAAGGAGGGCCCATCTTCTGGACACCAGGCTACCCTACTCCACAGGTTCCTCCCTGCAGCTGGAGCTAAGCTGTCCTCCCTGACTCTTCATGACCTGTCTGCATCCCATATGGGAACCTCCCTGGGACTCAGCTCTTCCACCCCAAGGCCCAGAGACTCTGGGCACCTGGTGGGGAGTGGAGGAGCGGCCAGCAAGGCTGGCTCCTGCTCTTCCTGCCCCTCCACACTCACTGGCAGCTGTCTTCACAGCAACAAACACAGGCGGGTGGGCGGGTGGAAGGGTGGGGGACAGGTATGGTAATGTTCTGTGGGTAGCCTTCAGGGCACAGCACAAGGAAGCAGGGGGATGTTTGAGCTCTGTGCAGAGAGGCAGGGAAACTCAGGCCCAATGAGCCCTAGGTCATGCAAATTGAGGATGGAGTCGGCGATAATACGGGCTGTTCGCTTCTGGTACCCACCCGAGGTTACCATTAGGATGGGTATATCGTGGGCTCGGACCAGGCGGAAAACCACTTCATCCCGCTTCACAATGCCCTGCGGGAAGACAGGGAGGGTGAGCACAGACAGGCCTCAATTCCCATGGGGCCAAGAAGCACTACTGCAAGTCTAACCCTGTTCTGAACTGCTGCTGCTTTAGCACATCTCCTCCAGACATAGGCTGCCAAACCTCAGAGCATGGCTTCCCTGCCCTACCAGGGCCAGGACACACAGCTTGGCCAACAGACAAAGACCCAAAATGGCCCCCAGGGTCAAGATTTATCAGATGATGGGCACATGTCCTAGGTGGCCCTACGGTCAGTGTTGTGGTTTGAATATGATGTGTTCCCCATAGGTTCATGTGTCTGAATACTTGGTGCCCAGCTGGTGATGCTGTCTCAGAAGGTTCTAGACCTTTAGTTGGCAGTGCATGCTGGAGAAAGTACAGCACTCTGGGTAGATTTTGACATTTTATAACTGGGCTCCCCACTTCCTGTTCTTTTCTCTCCACTTTCTCTGTGCAGACGAAATGTGTTCTCTCTGCTTCCAGACTGCCTAGCCAGCTTCATGCCTTCCCCGCCATAATTAACCATATTCTCTCAGGAACTGTAAGTTGAAATGAACTCTTTCTCCCCTAAGTTGCCACATTTATCACAGCAACATAAAACAGTCAGAATGTAACCCCAGCTATGGGCAAATCTTCAAGGTGGCCCCCAATGTTAGGACGTACCGCTGGGCTGATAGACAACCCCCCAAGGCGGTCCCCCTCGAGGACGTCTGTGCCTGCATTGTAAACCACCACATCAGGCAGATGCTCCTGGAGGGACCTCCTCACATTCCTCTCCACTTTTTCCAGGTATTCCTCATCTTCTGTGCCCCACTCCAACTCCACCTTCCGCCTGATGGCCTCTGGAAAAGACACCAAGAGCCCAAGTACAAGGCGTGAAAATGTGGCTGAGGACAGAAAAGATGTGGGGTCTTGTTGATGCCCATGGCAGGACTAACTCCATCTCAGTCTGGCTTCTCATTTCACCAAAGCTGAGTGGCAAGGGGGTACCCACGGGAGGACAGTGATTAAAGCTGAGGCACTTCAGCCTTGAGGGGCTACAGAACTACTCTCAGGTCCTACTAACAATGAACACCCCCTACATATTCAAGACCAGGCTCCAAATAGTCCAGAGTCAGCTTAGGCAGAACCAGTGGCTGTTCGTGAAGGTACACCCCAGTCACAGTGTAGACTCCAGAATTTTGAAGGTCCTAGGACATAAGCTGTTTATACAGAAGAGTCTGGAAAAGGAGATGTGTCCTAGGCCTCCTTGGGCCCAGAGGATTGTGGCGAGTCCCAAATGCACTGAACTTTGTATACTGTTGAATTTTGGTTTTGCTTTAGTGTGATTATGATTGTGCCCTGGTGCTTCCCTTTCAGAGTAAAAATTTAAAAGAAGAAAAAAAGTGTTTAACTTACTTTAATTTTATATGAATCCAGTTATCAGACTGCAGATGTTTTAAAAGAAACTTTGGAATTTTAGAGAGACCCAAATTTTGAACAAGCTTTGAAAGGGGTTTTGGATGTTTTAGACACTGGATTTTTTTAAGTGCTTGAATTTTTAAAGACTGGAATATTTAAAAGTTAGAAATTTTTCATTGTGACATTAATGTTAACATGCCATCCTGGGGACAAATGAGAAAGGAAAGGCTGTAGCTGACTAGTGTTTCTGTGTCTAGCTGACAAAGGATCAATTGTGTTGGCTTGTATTTTGCGGGTGATACCACTCCTGGGCAGGTGTCCTGCAGTTTAAGAAAAGAAAGTGAGCAAGCCAGGAGGAGCAAGCCAGTAAACAGCATTCCTCTATGGCCTCTGCTTCAGTTCCTGCCTTGAGTTCTTGCCCTGACGCTCATAATGGACTAAATCTAGAGTGCTGTGTCCCTCAAGCTCCTTTTGGTCATGGTGTTTTATTGCAGTAATATAAATGTACCTAAGGCACAAATCTGAGCTTATTGCTGCTGCCTTTGTTCTCTGTCTTCCTGCCTCTGTCTCTCTTCATTCATGCTCTCCTCTAATGTGACGCCCTTGTGTATATTTCCTGGATGAGTTTCTATGGTTTTGGGGGGTTGAGTGACTCTCTCACATCTCCATGTGCTTGTGGGTCTAGTGGGGGCACCCACTTCATGGGAATACTAGAGATAAATGAGGTGGCATGGCCATGCCCAAGCCTACACTGAGGACAGAGGTGGGGTGAGGCTTACCTTTAGCGAAGCGGTCCCCAGGGTAGATATGGCGGTTGTAAACATCCATGATGTATACACGCCTGTCACCCATGAAGTCTCGCTCATGGCCATTGCCCTGTGGGCAGACGACACTGTCACTGAAGGCAGCTGTTCTCAGGAAAGGGGGGGGGAGGGCTCTATAATCACCATAGGAACTGCCTCCTGTTCTGTGTGTGGGCTAGACCTTGGGGACCTAGTGTTAGACAGCAGAGCTGGACACACTCCAGACATGACCCAGTAGCCTCCTTCAGAACCTGCAGAATGCCCAGCCCCGTCTCTCACCCTCTCTGTGAAACAGGGCAGGATCTGGCCCTGCTACTCTCTTGGTCTGCAGGGGCTATCAACGGACACAGAGAGCAAACTGTAAAGGACTGTATGTGTGACTTCAGTTTACTTGGAGCAGAGTATGAGTCAGAGAGAGCAGTTGGGGATTTTGAGGGTATGAACGGACAGCAGGAGGCAGTGTGACCCCTTGGGTTCAAGGTCAGGAGCAATGAGGAGGATCTGCCACCCTAGCTGGACTGAGCTGCCAACAGGGAGGCTAAGACAGCACCTAAGTCTGCACCTTGAGCAAAGCAGATTAAACTGGCTGAAGCGCACTTAGGGCCATTTCCAGAAGGAGGGTATCCCACAGTGTGGGGCTGTGTGACACAGAGGCTGCCAGGGACATGGGAAGAGGAGTCTCTCACCATGGGAAAGTGCTCCTTCAGGGTGCTCACCTGGTGGGCATCAAGATCAATGATGGTGGCCCTGGAGATGCCTTCCACCCGTTCAAACAGGAACTGCCAGACAGAGGAGAGGTGTGAGGACCAGACAGCCAGAGGGACCCAGCGCCCTCTGGGAATAAGGGGTTGAGGGATCAGGAGGACAGTGGGTAACACATCACTTTCCCAGGAGTGCTGGGGTGCTGGGAGAAGTGTGTGTGTGTGTGTGTGTGTGTGTGTGTGTGTGTGTGTGTGTGTGTGTGTGTGTGTTGGCAGCAAGGTGGGGGCTGGTCAGGGAAGGTTCTGGGGTCAGGGAGTATTTTATCACCTAAAAGCTGAGGGATCATGTCCTGCATTCCCTGGGAAATATGGGGGTTGACAGATGAACCCCATAGTCTTGGAATTTAACTTCCCAGACTTCACCTCATTCTACAGTGATAAATCCTGATGCCTCTTCCTCCTCAAGGAAACCTTCCCCTCTGCTGCTCCAAGTTCTCCTGTGCCCTGTTCTAACCGCCAGGCCTACTGACAGCCCATCTACATGCCTGTGAGAACAGAACCCCATTAGCCTGGCATCCAGCATGAGACTGGGCAGAGTGCATGTGGTGGGGGCAGGTAGGGGTCCTCAGGGTCTTCCACTTGGACACGCTCCCTTCACTCAGTTTCCTCACTTGTAAGCTCGCGGGTTGTGGGGCAGGTGTCCTGGTTAGAATATGAAATCAACGGCAGCTGTGTTGTCTCCTCGCTCCCTTCCCCCTTCTCCTCTTCCCCCTCGTCCTGCAGCCATGCCCTTCTTCCTGTCCAGGCTTGAAACCTGCCTGTCCCTCTACCCACCACCTACTACCAGCAGAGATTTCCAGGACTCCCTCCTGTCACAGTCAGGCCTTCTAGTGGAAGGAATGTGCCAGATCCAGTTTGAGTCCTGGCCAGGTTGAGCAGCTAAGAAAGCCCTTCTCCACTGTGAGGAAGCCCCTTGTCACCGGGAGCCTAGTCCCTTCCCTGGAGTGTGTGGGAAGCTATGGAAAGCTATGGCAAAGGGCTTTAGAAGGTACTGAAGGTTCCCACACACCTTGATAGCTAGAGTAATGTCTGCATAGGCACAGAAGCCTCCGCCACGGTCACTGGAGCAGTGGTGGAAGCCGCCACCTGCAGAAAGGCAGATGGTAGTAATGGTCAGAGCCAGGTCCAGATGCCCTCTAATCCCTACCATGCCCTCATCCCCTTCCTGTTGGGATTCCAGGTTGGCCAAGTGAACAGCACACCTGGGCATGTTGTCACTCCAGACCATGAGGTAGCTCCATGCCAAAACCACCTCACTCCACAGAAAGGGCCCTCCCAGGGAGACCCAGACATGTCAGTCTGCTGGGCTGCTCGTGGGCTCCCACAGCGGGAAGGGGCAGCACCAGCAAGCTTGCCTTGGACCCAGGTTCTCCTAGTAGTGGACAGAGATGACTGGAAAGGATACCTTCTGTTGGCCACAGCTATCCATGCCACTCCCAACCCTAACATAGTCTGGGAGTGATTTTTTATTTGGACCAGAGAGATGCTATTGCCAGTCTTCTGCTAGAATGGCTAGTAAGCTGCTACTGCCCCTGTGTCCCTGGAGAACCTTCTGGAATGGAGATCTAGAACTAGCTCCACCCCCATCAGTGTGAGGTTAGGGTGATCCAGATCAAGGACTTTCCTCTTCTATCAGGGGCTCCTAATAGGTCTCTCTAGAGAGCTTGATGAAACCTCTGTATAGTCCAGAAGAGAGCTCAATCTTCACCAGTATCTAGCAAATGGCAGTACCATCAGTGAATGCCAGGCTTGATCAGGACCCAGATGCCCAACTTTAACCAGACCCTAGTTTCTATTGTAGAAGTATTCCTCCATGAACTGGGAACCATGTTACAGATACACAGGGCATGAATCACCCATGTTTGTGCAATTGGGTATCCTAAAACCATGGCTATGCCAGGTTTAATGCTAGGTATAATTCAAGCAAGAAAAACCATGGCCCCCAGACATGCAGAATTCACAAAAAGAGCTCAGGGGTCTTCTATAGATCTTGCATAAGCCAGTACCTTGTCACTATGTTTAATTCCTCACAAGACAATGATTCAATAGTAAAGGAAAGGCTGCTGGGGAACAGGTTCTTCAATTGTCAAGGAATATGAAGACAGATGTACAAGGGCCACACAGAGCCCAGGAAGCTGGGGAGCACTAGCCCTCAGAACCCTTGAGGAGGCACTGAGCCTGGGCCCATCCACTTATCACATGACTAAGCCCTATCCTTCTAGGCCTAGACCCTAGAAGGATGGAGTCTTTTAGGACAGCAAAATGGAGGGAGCTAATTCCACACAGACATGCTCAGGGAATAGCCCAGGGACCTTCCTAAGGGGTGATACAGGCTCTCTGGGTGGGAGAGGATCCCCTGTCACTGGAAATATACAAATGTTGGGCAGGGGCATTCTCAGGACAAATGCCCCACAGCACATGGAAACTGGTGGGTGCTTCAGAGGAATAAAAGTGCTGAATGCTCACTTCTAGGCTACTGAAGTGGCACTGGGGATTTTCCTGTCCCCACACCCTTCCCAGCTCCACCAGGCTAACCAGACATTCTGAAGCCCCAGGACTCACCAACATTGATGGCCCAGCCTCGTTCCACAGCCAGCTTCCCCGCCTTTGGAGACAAGTAGAGCATATGAGTTGAGGCCTCATTCAGGGGCAAGCATGCACTCACCCCATCAATATAAACTCTGGGGCAGGAGTAGGTCACAGGTAGAATCAGGCAACACTCTCCCCATCCCTTAACAGCAGCAAATTTTGTCAGGCCAACAGGGGGAAAGAACCAGACCTCCAGTGTGGAAGAGTTTAGGGTGGCCCTCCTGATTTTACAGGGAAAACACCAGAAATTCAAGTGAAGTGATCTGAGGCTTTCAAATGGAAAAAAGACTGTCTGCTTGTGGAAATATCATAGGCTGGTGGTCAAAATCCTGCAGGCATTCAGGGTGAGTGGCAATACAAAATTTGGCAGTGTCAGAGGGCAATGACCATGGCTAGGATAGCCCTCCAGCCTGTGAACATACTTTTGTTGGGTTACAAACACAGTGACTCAAATTGTTATTAGGTGGGGCAGGACTCTACAGGGCAAAGTGGGGTGGGGGCTGGGAGCTGCACACCCCACCCAGCCTACCATGATGGTGCCTCCGGTCTGGGTCCGCAGGGGCCTCAGCACCTTCCTTTGCACAAGGAAGTTGGGGAGAAAGATGACTGGGGGTATCTCAGTGATGGTAGCCACCACGAACGACCACTGTGGAAAGAGACATGGAAGTCAAACTTGGTGCCAGGTCTGGGCACATGGTGGCTCCCTGCTCTGCATACTGTCTTTGTTGGGGAATGACAGCTGTGAGCCACCTTGCACTCCCAGGTTTGAGCTTGGGCACAGTCAAGTTGATGTTGGTGTTCTGAGGCTCTCTTATGCCCTCTTGTGCCATAAAAAGGACTGCAGGTTGCTCTGAGGTTAAACCTGCATGTGGTTTCTCATCTCCCCACTGCCCAGCAAGTACCAGCTAAGCCTTGACTCTGGTGCCACATGCCAGTCAGCACTTTTTAAGTACTTAGGGCCTGTGAGACAGCCAGGTGGGCTTGGGGTCTTGTCTTGTGCTGGGATACTTGTAGCCATGGCTAACAAGCCAGCAGGTGCAATGATCCATCTTCATAGGAAAGAGAGGGCCTTGTGGAGAAGGCAACATCTACGAGAGTCCCCAGATGCAGGGATTAGGCCAAAGAGGCAATTTAGGGCAAACAATTGAGTCCAGAAATGGCAGAAGCTGGGCATAGCAGGGCAGGGTAAATACGTTTCTCCAGTTGTTCAGGACCTGGGCTGCTAACACAGACTCACAGCATACTGTCAGAGACACAAACAAAAACCAGAACTAAAAACTAAACTCACAGGGAGCCCCTGAGGTCCACACCCAGCTAATGGGAGCTACTTTGTTACTTTTCCTGCACAGGCGTTACACTCCCAAGCAGGTGACTCCAATCCTTTCTGCCTGGCATTGGAGAAGCCCGATTTGGTGTGTCTAACACTCTCTGCTGCTCTTGTTCTTTTACTCTTGTTGGAGACTTGATCTTTCTACTTATTCCTGAATGTCCAGGTACTATGTAGATCAGGCTGACCTCCAACTCAAAGACATCTACCTGCCTTTGCCTCCTGAATGCTTCAATTAAAGGCTTCTTGTTGTTGCTAGTATTACTATTTTATAGACAGTTGTTACTTGCTTTCCCCAGGGGACTGCTTCTTGGCCAAGATCTACTGGGACTCCAGGCCCATGAGTAAATGGAGTCATATTTACATGGAACCCTGGCACATCCTCATGTATAAATCATGCCTAGATTATGTATGACACAGACTCTGTTACCACTCTGAGAGAAGTTTAAGCCACAGTTTAGGGAGTAACACAAGAAACTTGTAAGTTAATATGTATGCAATATTCTTTTTGGAATACTCTCCTGTGGATGGTTGAACCTGAGGACAAAGGACCCAAATATATGGACTCTTGCCTGTAATTATGAGTCAGTTTTGAGCTACAGGTAGTGTGGTAGTGCATGGCCACCATTGCAGGTTGGGATGTGGAGGCAGAATAATGAGTCCAAAGCCAAACCCTGGCTACACAAGACCCTGTCTCAAACAAAAAAAAAAAACAAAAAAAAAAAAAAACAAAAATATAAACGTTTAGTTAGAATATCATGCCTCAGTTACTTCAGGCATATTTCAAATGCTTCCAGCCAGTGTGGCCAGTGATTGGATGGAGCAGTTTAGGATGTGCTCATCACAACAGCTTTATCAGGCAGCACTGCTGGTGGTGGGAGGATGGGGGGTGGAGGTGGACCAAACTGTGGGTGCAGGGATGGGCAGCCTGTGGCTCTGGAAGACAAAGGAGAAGGGCTTGGTGGTGGGCTCTGGGCCTGGGAGATGGTAGTTACAGTGAAGCGATGAGTGCACAGAGAGCCTAACAGACACTGACACAGGGCAGGGTGAGCAGCAGAAGATGGAGCAACTGAGAAGGGCACTGGTGTGGACGGGACAGCACAGGACAGATGCAATTACCTGTGCCGTGCAGCAGGTTAATCAGGGGACGGCCCAGATTTTTAGGCAGAACCTACCCAGAATGCCTGTGACAAACTTGGTCAGGGCAAGGGGCTTAGGGATGGTTGGGCTGGATGCAGGGCCAGGACAGGCTTCTGAAGCCACTCTAGGCTCTACCTCAGTTGTATGGTTTAAGGTATAGCCCTCTCCCTCTGTGCCTGCCTCCTTATCTGCAAAGCAGGGCCTGCCTGGAATGAGGGTGTAACCATGAACCCTGCTGCAAAGGCCTGTCCTCACCTCTATACAGCACTGTCCTAGCTGACCAAAGGCTATACTAGAGCTGCACACCACCACCACCACGTGTGTCACTATCCAAGGCTACACCTGTGTCTATCCCCTTCAGAGGGGTACTAGTACTATGATACATTGTTTATGATTTAATAAAACTGGTCTTGGGATCAGAATGCAAAGCTAGCCACACTAGCTAGCCACAAAGGCCAGGCAGTGGTGGTATACCCCTTTAATCCCAGGACTCAGGAAATGGGCAGATGAATCTCTGTGAGTCCAAGACCACCCTGGGCTATACAAGAATGAATCAGTCTAAAAGAGTAACAGAGCTCACACCTTTAGTCCCAGCACTAGAAAGGTTTACAAGGAAGAAGCAAAGGTCTCATGGGAGATTCAGTTTCTCATGGAAGATTCAGACAGGATCTCCATTTCAGCCTTGATAGAATTAAGAGCTACTGGATGGCTGATTTTTTTCTTCATCTTGAACCCCAGTATCTGTCTCTGGATTTTTATTATTCATGTTACATACTGGTGCCCTAAACTAAAACTGCCAGGCCTGGGGGCCGAAGCCTGTACATCCTGCTGCTCAGGGTTGAGCCCAAAGATCATGAGCTCAGACCAACCTTGTCTCAAAATTAAAAGGCTTACTATTATTATTTTTTAAGGGGAGATTGAAGATGTAGCTTAGTAATTAAATGCTTACCCAGGTTTGCTCTTCAGTATGGAGAAAAGAACATTAAATAACTACAAAGAGAGAGAAAAAACAAAAACAAAACAAAAAAAACAAACAAACAAACAAAAAAACTAAACTCACAGGGACCCCTGGGCTCTTTTACTTTTTTTCCCCCCACTGCCAGCCAGGCCAATCTGATGCTTTGTGCTAGGGTTGTAGACTCCTGATTTAATGTCATCTTGAGCTCAATCTGCTGCTTTATCTACTTATTTTACTTTTGCTTGCTATAAACTCATTCACTCAAAACTCATATGGCTATGCTAGTTTTTTTCTTGGTACAGAAGTGGGGTATACCCCAAATAACTGAGACTGGGTATTCAAACAAATATGCATGGGCATATTCATAGCAACACTACTGACAATTGCCAAAATGGGGAAATAACTCACTTGCATAAGCTAATGATGGGCAAACAAGATGCGATACACCATGTGGTAGAGTATTATGTATCCAGGAAGAGAAATGTGTAGGGTGTGGTGCATGGCTTGGTGACAAAGCACTTGCCTTGCATAACTGAACTGAATCCCAGTCACTGGGGAGGAGAATACATGACACCTGCTCACTATGATGTGCAGTGAGGCAAGCCAGACACCAAAGCTCACACACTGATTCCATATGTACAAAGCCAGGTACAAAGTATGCAAGAGATGGGCGGTGACAGGGCAGAGGGCAGGGAGTACCAGGGAGAAAGCACTCTGTAGGGTTAGGGTGTCCTTTCAGGATGACAGGGACAGGAGTAGATCATGACATCACATGGTGGATGATGGAAATGCTGCTTTAGGATGGTGGGTTGTATCATATGGAACTAACCACATTTTTATTTCTTTTAAGAAAAGGAGAGATGGGGGAAATTGACAAAGTCAAAGACCCAGGTTCCCATCCCCGTAGCCTCTCCCATCTTCTGCCCTCCAGATGCCCTAAGGTCAGTCTCCCTCCATCCTTCCCTCCCTGTCTCCCTCCCTCCCTCCCTCCCACAGTGCCTTTGCACTTATGACTCCTGCTTAGACTGCCCTTCCCTCACTCTGGGCTCCAATGGCCTCAGTCCTCCATACCCCACCTTGCTGTTCCCCTTTCCATGAACGCTTGGCAACAATCAGTGGGTTATGTTCTTCTCCACTCTCCATTGGAGAGGAACTTGGTCTTGGGTTCCATCCCTTCCCTGCAGGGCCCAGCACAGTATGCATGCTGATTATGAACTTGCTGATGGTGTTCAGGGACAGACATCAGGATCTTCCCAGCTCTGACCTGCTCCCAGGAGCAGTGCTGATGCTGACAAGATGCCTCCCTTAATGGGCCCAGCCCTAGGCTGTACACACAGTTGGTGCTCCTGCATCAATGTTATCTTTCTTTTTTTGGTGCCCTGCATGGGAGGTTACAGCAGTGCAGAATCAGGGATGAAGCCCACAGCAGATGTATGGACAGAGTAGATGAGGCAGGCAAGAGGGTGCATGGTACACAGCACCCACAGCAGACCCAGTAACAACTCTGGGAACCCTGAAAGGACCTGCCAGACACTGCTTGGGATGTCCATAGCAGAGGAAACGGACAGACAGTGTTAACATGGGGTAAGAGAGCTGTGGCATCAGATAATGGGCCTCACCTGAGAGTCAGCAGCACCTCACTCATCACTCCCCCACTGCAAACCTGTTCATAGTACGTAGGTTAAAATCCATGCTTCCTCCTCAGGTAACCAGACCCAGTGTAGCTTGGTGCTGGCTGGCCAAGCCACATAAGACCTGGTGAATTATAAAGGCTATGTTTTTCCCTTTGCTCTGGCTACCAGGGAGCTCTGAGCCAAATGTTACTTCATCATCACGTTGATGAACCTCTATGTTATGTTGAGTCCCCCTGCTCCAGTCTTATTGTCTATTTGAGACTCACAGACCACACTGCTTCCAGATTTTGGGGACCATGATGAGACAGTCTGCGTTGTAAGTTTCCCTGAAGGTTTTATAATGGGTGGGATCTTGGTAACTATCCCTACAGTCCCAGCCTGATCCCAGCCCCACTCCTGGTCTCTTCCTATCCAAACTCAGAGCATCTACTCCTGCCCTCCCTTCCCCCTCTTCACTCCTGGCCAGGCTCCTGGGCTGTGGACTATCACGCGTCTGAGCCCCAGGAAACCAGGGCAGCCACGCACTGGGCTTCCAGCCAATGCCTCCCACTTCTCTCCTGGGAGCCAGGTGCAGCCTCTTCCTGGCAATCTTTCATGAGGTCACACTGCCATGGCCCATCTAGAATTCTCACAGGTTAGGCCATGGTTGGAAAGGAAATGGACCAGCAACTGGGGTCCTGGTCCTGAATAGATGCCTGCAAGGGTCCTCCCCACACTTAACCAGCTCCCCCCACCCCTCACCAGTAATGACCTTGAGCAGGCATAGCCTACTTCTGAGCCAAGGTCTTTCTAGACAGAATGAAGGGGCCTGTTGACTTCTGCCCTCTGTAGAGTACTGAGTTCATGACTCTGACAGGAAGCTTGGGGGCCAGGGCTCTCACACTCTGAGGCAAAGAATCAATAGCACCCCGATTCAGCTCCAGCCAGGGCAGGCTGGTAGCCACAGATTCTGACACTGGCTCTCACGCCAACCTGCCACATAAAAGATGTACTAAAGATCCCGGCTCCCAACAGGAGCTTTCAGTGGCCTCCTGTGCAAAAAAGCCACCAGCAGGCAGTAGTAGTCCAGTGTGGCCTGCAGTCAGGATTTTAAAATCTTCAGTTAGCACTTTCAGAATCAGGGCTGGGGGATGGAGGTATGGCTCAGTGATAGGGTGCTTGAATGACATGCATGAGGCCCTCAGTTCAATCCCAACAATCATAAAAAAATAAATAAATAAAATAAAGATCACCCCTCCCCAAAAGCCCAAAGCAAAAAATTAGAAAAAAGAAAGAAATCTGAGAATATCATTTAATAATCAGCATCTGGCTTCTCTTCGAAAAGCGGGCACTGTAGTCATGCGGGTCCAACCATGTGGCAACCAACCACATGGCCCATGTGGGAGGGAAAAGGTCTTCTGCAATTCACCCCAGACACCTCCGCCTGCCCCCACCCGGGTCTTTATGTTCCCTGCTGGACCCTGGGGGAGTTTCAGACCCATTTTTAGCCCAAGACTTTGCATTTACAAGAAGTCCTTAGTATAGCATCTTGGTCCACTCTAAAAACAGGTCAGAGTAAAGTGGCCTTCGTGGCCAGGACCAGGGCTGGCATCCCTGTCCACTAAAGTGATCCCAGAAGTGGCCTCTGAGTCTGTCAAGAACACAGGCTAAAAGTCATTAATATGCCCAAAGCCTCCAAGGATCCTGTCTGCAAACCCCTGCTTTCACATACCCTGAAGATGGGGGTCTAACCACCCACAGCGATACTCTTATAGCCCCTCCTTATCTTAATAGCCAGAGATATCCATGTCTCACTGGGCTAGGGACAGGAGTAGGTTCCTTTAAGGCTGAGCTTCCCCTCCTCCAGCCACTGTATCTGGTCACAGCCCACAGATCCCTGTACTGTACCTTCAGCTCATTGAGATAGCGTCTCGTATGCACCACCAGCAGGTCTTCCTCCGAGGCCTCCCGCGCCTCCACCAGCATGCCATCTGACAGCAGCTTCTCTTCTGGAACCACAGAACAAGCCCCTGCTTCCTTTCCGCTGACTCCCAGGCCAGGCACAGCACCCTCCCACCCCCCACCCCACCCAGGCTGCAAGCTGGCCTCTGGCAGCCCCTCGGCACACAGTGAACTCCTGGGTGTTCTGAGAACGGCTGTCTCCCTAGACTGGTGTGGCCAGTGGCTAGGCCCTCTGCCTCTGGATGTTGAGCTTGGGAATACATCAGTTTCCATGTTTTCTGTGCGGCTGACAGTCACCAGGTGATCTCAGGTACAACTGAATAACCTCCAGAAGCAGGCAGCACAAGCAACAGGACTGTTCTCAAGGTAGAAAACATTCTTCTTCAACTCTCCCTCAACAGGTGGCTTAGCACATCGAGGCCTATCCTCAGCCTCTTGCCGCTTGCTCATCCCCGCTTGCTAACCAAAGGACAGCAGTGGCTTACAGGCAGCACAAGCCAGAGTCAAACAACTGCTGTTTTCAGAGCACTGCCTTCATGATGGACCCTTCTGTTTATGGCAAATGAAACTGCCTTTTCCTATATTGATGACATGGGTTTCTTTTTAAAACAAATTTAAGTTTAAAAAAAAATTCCAAGGCTCAAGCATTTAAAAATATGTAATAAATATAGGAGTCAGTGGTACAGTGGACATCAGGGTGTCTGAGTGGCTTGCAGATGTCTGGTGTTTGTTTTCTATATGTGGTTACCAAAGATTTGCTTCACTTTGCAAAAGGAACTGAGGCTAAGAGAGGGCACTGGGCCAGGGTACTGTGAGACTGGGCCATGGTGCTCTGGATTCTAGAGAAATCAGAATTCAGGGTCTATGTTCAATGAGTCATGCTCAGAAACCAATCAGTCCCATCCACTTCTAACACAAATCCAGGCAGGCGCTACCTCTCATAGCATCTCGTGGCCTGTGACACCTCCAGACTCAGCCTCCCTTCCTGCCAGGGCCTGTCTCCCAACCCTCCTCATCCTCAGAGGAACAGCAGTAAAGGGACTGGCTGCTTGCTCCCAGCTGATGGAGATGTGGCACCCTTCTGTTGAGCCACTGGGAAAGGCAGGAGCCCAGGGGACAGAGAAAGAACCAATAGAAAACCATTTGTGCAGGCAACAGATGGGCAAAGCTATCGTCACAGCTCATACCAACACCACACATCACTTGCATGCTTTTTCTACTCCATGTTTTTCTTTGGATGTTTAGGCTGGTACCTGCAGTGGAGGGAAAAGCTGTGCCATTTGTCACAGATAGAAGGTCACCAAAGGAACAAAACAAACCCAACAGAAACAGCTGTGTTATTAATGTCTAATTTGGTACTATTTTCTACATGATGCAGAGCTGGAGGCCTGCTCTAGATTTTTAGGAGGGGAAGTGGGGACTAGTTCTAACTGGAGGGAATATGAGACATAGCCCACTGTGCTTAACAGCCTGCCTGGAAAGACCCTTTAACAGCAGGGCAGATGGCAGTCTAAGGCTGAATTTGGATAAGGATGGGATGGATGCAGAGATGGAGAAGGCAGATGCAGGTCTGAGGGGGTGGTAAGGATAGAGAGGGGGCAGATGCAAGTCTAAGGGTGGGGGGTGCTTTCTTACCTTTCAGGAAGTTGATCACCTTGCCCCATTTTCCAGCATCAAAGGGGTGCAGCTTCTCCAGGCCCATGAAGGTGATGTTGTAACGTGGTGAGTACACGATGGGCCAGCGTTTCTCTGGTACATGCTGGTACAGCTGTGTTGCGTGCGGCCTTAGATGTGCAGAGAGACAGACTCAGATTTGGAGGGCAGCCTCCCTGTGGAAAGCAGTTTTCCCCTCCCCATTCACACCAGGAGATCGCTTAACACCAACAAAAATGACAACAGCTCCTTCCTGAGCCCTGGCTGGCTTTGCCTAAACCCGCTTCCAATACAGTCCTCACAGCAGCTCTGGGGACCAGGTGTGCCCAAGGTCACATGCCAATGCCAGGTGTATTCAGTAGTGCTGGCGCCAAGGCCCAAGGCCTGCACGGGGAAAGGTGGGGTGAAGGGGGCGGAATGTGGCTGTCTCGCGAGTCAGCTCACACTTCTGCGAAACTGGGAACAAAATGCGCTGCGGGGGAGAGGGGCGTAGACCGTGACTGCCAGAGACTGTGCCCTCGTCGCAGACCTGCAGCCCACCGCGGTGCCCTGGGGAGCGGAGACCCACCGTTCGCCCTCCCGGTCACCCAGACCACCCCACCTGTCCTGCCGCGCCCACGGGGACCCTCAACACCTAGGCTTGGCCCCATGCACGACCCCGCACACTCACATCCCGCAGCCAGCCCTGCCTGTTCTGGCCGCCACTCCGCACCGGGAGGGGTGGGAGGGGGTACAAGGGGCGGGGCCGGCGTAGAACCCTCCTCCGTGGCGCGGGGAACTGGGGGTGGAGCTCTGGCCTGAAGCTGCGTCACAGACAACCGGACGGCGCCGGCCAAGGAGAGGCATCCAATGGAGTCCCGCCTGGGGGGTGTGGTCATGCGCAGCTCCGCCCGCATTCCCAGGGTAGAAATAAGCACACTTGCTTATGTGGTGTGATCTTGGGCTTCTCTGCGCCATTCGCGCCTCTGGCCTTGGTGTGGAAGTGGTGGATCTGTTCTGGGCCCAGCATTTCCGATGTACATTCCCTCCTGGGCTGCAGCCCTCCATTCCTGTACCATCTGTGGCTTCTTCATCTTGGTATAAGCACCTTCCACTTGTCATTCTTTGAATCTCAGTTTTCCTATCTGTAGAACAGGCCTGGTGGTCCAGTCTTTAGGGTACCAGTCTTGTATATTTGAACATTTCTCCTGTCTCTATTCCCCCTATATCCTGACCCTAGTAACTGACCAGCAGCTGGGGTGTCTATGTCTGGAACCTGGGAGGAAGCCCTAACAATAGAGCCCAGAAGAAAAGACAATAGGCTTCTGTTAGTCCAGCTGTCTCCATCAACCAAACAGAGGCAGCTGACCAGAGGGCTGCCAGGAGCTAGCGTGGCAGCTGGGAGCCTAGGGGCTCCAGGGTCATGTGAAGGAAACCAGAAACATTTTTTGTTGTTTTTTTTTTTTTGGGGGGGGGACAATGTGCCAGTGTGTACATGTAGATCAGAAAACAGCTCTGTGCAGACAATGGTCTCCTTCCACCTTTGTGTGGGTTCCAGGGATTGAACTCAGGTGGTCTGGCCTGAGCACCAACAGCATGTGCTTGCCAGCTGAGTCCTAGCATGGGCTGACAGTTTTGAAGAGTGCTTTCGGTGTGTCTACTGTTAGATTATTAGATAATTTTCAGGAAATGCAATGTAGGTTGTGAAGGATGCTGAAACACATTGTCCTTGGGAGTGTGAGGTCATTCAGGAGCTGCTGCCCCAGGCCATCAGTATTAGGGTGGAGCCTGAGGAGATGGAACCTTCAGTTGAGAGCACGAAGGCAATTCCTTATTCTTAGAAGTTTGGCGGTGGCGTTTCCATACCATGTGACCTAGCCTATGGGCTAGGAATTACAGAGCCTGAACCACAGTGGGTAAGGCCATGAATTATAATTCAAAGCTGCTTTAGGCTTTGCCAGAAGAGGGAACAGTATTAAATTAGGAGGGGAGTCTCTTTGTTATCACAAGGCTCCAACCTGTATTCGACCCAGACCAGGCATCTACTAGTGTCCTGGTCTAGGGAGGTTGGATCAGCTCTCTGGGCTTTCACTGTTGCATTTAGAGATGAATAGGGTGATCCTGACTGTCTACTTTCCAGGGAAGCAGAGAGACACCAAAGATAACATCAGCTCTTACTGAGTGCCTGTTCTGTGCTAGGTCAGTCAGTCCCAAAAGCCTCATGCATATTGAACTCCAAACAACCCTGGAAGGCAAACTGTCCCATTTTATACAAGTGAAGCTGAGGCAAAAAAAAAAAAAAAAAAAAAAAAAAAAGAGTGAAGTCACTTGCCTAAATATCAGGAATGTGGATAAATGTGTAAAACTTAGTGACAACAAAAACCCAAATGTTGTACTGCCAGAGAGGCTGGTCTCGGGGAGTTGCTTGCTCTGGGGTTTGGGAAAGTGGCACAGGTGAGCATCAGGTCAGGAGAATACAGGTCAGAGCATACAGCATCTAGGAGCTGAGGCCCAAGATGGCAGAGCTGGTCTGAGAGTACATCCTCAGTTTTGTTTCTGTGTCTGAGGAACGCTGGAGTTGTGAATCCCTTCTCTCATGGCAGGCTGGGCCATCTGCACTGTCACAGATGCCAGAATGAGCTGTGTGGTTTAAGCAGTTGAATTGGGGAGGGAGGCTCTTTATTACAGCATCCTAGCACATCTGTTAAGACCCAGCAACAGGGCCATAGTGGTGCACATAGTAGACAGAGTAGAGAGCCTTGGCAAGTCCGTGGGAAGTAGAAGGAACATATCTTTTACTTTCAAAAATGTGTGTGGGGTTTTTGCCTGCATGTATGTCTATGCACCACATGCGAGCGGCGTCCATGGAAGCCAGAAAAGGATGTCAGATCCCCTGAAATTGGAGTTACAGTTAGCCATTAGCTACTGTGTGGGTGCTAGGAACTGAACTTCTGGAATAACAGCAAGTGCACTCACCCACTGAGTCATCTCTCCAGCTCTCGGGAAATAAAAGCTATAATTACTAAATGTTGCATTGTTGTAAACTATCCAAGTCAAGGCCCAGAGGAAGTGGTGGGCTCTGGTTCACAGCAGTCTGGAAGAGCTGCTTCCACGAGGTGGTTTTACTTTTAGCGCTGTATTCTTACAATGTCTTACAAGATACCGATTGACTGAACATTGTATGTTTATTATCGTTTCCCTTTTACACCGTTCATATCACCTTGGGACATATCTCAATTAAAAGTGAACAAGAGCTACAGGTGCAGCTCCATGGTAGAGTACCAGACTTAAGCATAGTCCTGGATTTGACACCATCCCCACTACCTCCCTCTCTGTCCAATCCGAATGCAGAATTTCCTGTGCAATATATAGGTGGTAGGGTTGCAGGGCTCCCACATGGAGCTTTCTGACATCTGCCAAGCTCAAGCAAGGCTAAGCTGGTGGGACTGCTGATTGACAGTCCATCCACCCCAGACTAAACGGACGGGAAGAGCTCTAAATACACCCGGGGCAGGGAAGCAAGCTGCAAATCTTCAAGGATGTTGCCCTAGCAACATCACCATAGCAACAACAGCAACCATTGGCTCTTGGACATTGCAGCAGTTTCTGGTGCAAAGGTGATCAGAGCATTGCTATGGCAACCAGAAACTGAGGGAACTAAGTTTGACAGCTCAGTGCCCACTTCCTTAACATCATGGTGAGGGACATGGGATGTGTCGACCTAATTGAGAACACCTTCGAGTTTGGGTAGTTTTTCTTTTTCTCCTCTCAGGCTTGACAACTGTACCCTGATTAGTCCCGTTTTGTACCTTACTTGCATGTGCACACATTTGGCCAATCAGGGCTCAGTTGGCCCTGTTGCTGAGCTGAAGAAACTCTGAAGGGGCCACTCTCTCCTTGAAGCACACCTTCAAGAAGGAAGGTTTCAGAGTCTGGATTCTAGAGGACTTCCATTCCTAGGGGCCTGGCTCTTTGGAAAAGGAAGACCAATTTGAGGACTTGTCAAAAGAGACTCACTGGGACTGGAGCCTGAGACAGCTTCCAAGACACCACACCTGGGTCACATAGGAGCATTCCTTCCCGCAGCCATTTCCAGAAACCTTTGCTCCTGCTATTCTCGCAGCTTTTATAGGTGACTGGTGGCCTCATTTCTGCTATCTTGCTTTATGGTGGGCTGGCAGCCCTGAGGCACTCCAAGAGCTTTTGATCCTAACACTTGCTGACCACCTCAGTAATCTCTCAGTTAGCACCTCGGAGCTGAACCCACAGAGCTTTGGCATACCTCCCTTGGATGAACAACCAAGGGTCCAAAGATCTTTAATTTTCTGTTTCAAATTGTTACTTCTTCATGGAAGCAGCCTTCAGAAAGGCGAGCGTAGTGGCTATCTCTACTCTGAAGGGACTCTGGCCGGCTTGAGCGTGGTGACATGGCTCTGGCCTTGCCCTTCTTCCCTCTGCCTTCCTAAAAACATTAGATTGCATCCCTAAAGCCAGCCACCAAGGTCTATTCTCTCATTTGGTCACTTCCTCCTCCTGAGGCTGACTACCAAGGTCCAACTATCAAAGTATAGAAGTCCAGCAATCAAAAGCTCCATTTGGCTCACCTAATTAACATGCCCAATGAAAATATACCACCATATCCCAGCCCATTCTAATACAGACCCCCCCATTTTTCTCTTCTTAAAAATTACACCTGAGGATGGTGTAAACCTTTAATCCCAGCACTTGGGAGGTAGAGACTGTCAAATCTCTATGAGTTTGAGGTCAGCCTGGTCTACAGAGTGAGTTCTAGGACAGCCAAGGCTACACAGAGAAACCCTGTCTTGGGGAGGGGACCTACACCTATACCTGCAAGGTCATTGCTGCTGGTTTGGTTTTTGTGTTTGTTTTTTGCCTGTGACAGAAAACTCACCCTCCCCTCTGCTTAATAAAGGCTTTCTCTGTGAAAATAGGTATTTAGGTGTGATTTGTGTCCGGGGTCTAGGAGGGAACTCCCACTGTGTGTGTGGAGGCTCCACTCGTTCTGTGACTCAGAGGGGCTAGTAACCCCTGTTCTCATGCATTGCTGTCCAGTCCCTCGGGCTCCCAATTCCCCCATCCAACACTGGTTGACTGGTAAATCCCCCACTCTGGCTGTCCTAAACAGTTCTCAGTTTACAAGGTGACAGCCGTCAAGTGTCTGGTGTCCTAGCTCTGGCTGGGGAATTGGGGCACTCGGACACAATCTTCACTGGTTATGGTGAACTCCCACTGACTAGCTGCCAGCTAGGTACATTCCGTCCAGTCTGGTTTGGTAGAGGGCATTCCCCTTTCACTCATGGTGATCACATTGCCAGAATCTAATGCCCTTTCCTCTTCTTCTGAAAATAAACCTGTCCACAAGTCCCAGATTCATCCTTAGACCTACACGGGTCCCTCTCTTGGTGACAGAGCCCGGGTAATGACTCCATCCCTACCAGAGACCTCTCCTCGGCCTCTGGGGATACACAGGGATACCTGGTCTCTAGACTTTGGCCTACTACCACCAAGCATGATGGGTTCTGTCTCTTCCATTCCAACTAACTTGCCTCTGGGATGTCTCCTACAGAATCTCAAATGGCTAAAACTCTCGGACATCAAATCGCCTAAGCCCATGCACTATGAACCCAGGATTGACCTTTGTCTCTACTGAATAACCAATCTAAGTAGCTGACTAATGGCTCTCTGGGTCCTAACCTTATTCAGGGCCATTACAACTTTTTGTGAGTGCACAGGAAAAAAATTTCCTTCCTCTGCTCCAAGCCCTCCCAGTATGCCTCCTGCTCACCATTCCATGTCTCCTTCCTCTCAATCCTCAGCCCCTCCCCTGACCCAAGCTCCTGAAACTGAAACGCCATCCTTCA